GAAAATCAGTGTTTTAGCAACATCAAAAAACACTGATACAGAATTCATTATTGCCGAAATTTCAGACAATGTAACAAAAATACTAGTGTCATGTGTATACAACCCTCATAGATGTTGCATGTTAGATTCGTTTTTTGTTGAGGTGTCTTTGTTTATTATTGAGTATGAGCGTTTTGTTATATGTGGTGACTTCAATGTCAATTTGCTTATGAATGACTCATATGCCAATAAACTACTGGATCATGTATCTGCTGCAGGTCTTGCTTTAGTTAACAAATTCATACCAACAAGATTTGCGCACAATTCATGTCCTAGTTTGTTAGACCTCATTATCACGTCAAGCCTCGACCATATTCTTAAATTTGACCAAATAAGTTTTATCTCCGACCACGACCTAATATTTTGTGCACTAGATGTAACGTTTAATTGTCCTGCTGATAGTGTTACTTCTATGTATCGTGATTTTAAGTCTGTAAATGTTAATGACCTGACTGATGATCTGTTAAATGTTGACTGGGATGCATGTTGGTTTGTTGAGTCGGTAGATACCAAACTTGACTTTTTAAGTAAAACTATGTCTGAATTATTTGATGTCCATGTTCCTCTTCGTACTGTTCGCGTTTTGAATAGCTCTTGTCCGTGGTATAATAGTAATGTCAGATCTGCTATAAAAGCTCGTAATAGATTATATGCGAAATGGAAAAGAACCAACACGGACTTCGCTTGGTTGCAATACAAACTTGCCCGAAATAAAGCTACCACCATTGCAAGACAAGCGAAACGGTTGTATTGTAACTCCAAGTTGAACCCATCACTACCATCAAAAGACTTATGGCGCAATTTGGAAAACCTTAATGTGCATGGAAAACATAAAACTGAGTGTAAAATTGACCCTAACATTCTAAATGATTATTTTACTGGTGCCTGCAAAAGCGGCGACAGTTCTCTAACTCAAAACTTCAATAGCCATTTTGCACTGAGAGAAAAGTTTCAATTTAATGGAGTTACAGAAGCAGAAGTTATGAAGGCAATTATGAGCGTCAAGTCTAATGCTATTGGTGAGGATGGTATATCCTTGAAGTTTGTGAAACTTGTGCTGCCATTCATTCTAGGAACTCTCACACATATAATCAATCACTGCTTCACAACTTCGTGTTTTCCAACGGAGTGGAAAAAAGCTGTGATTATTCCTGTCGCTAAAAAGAATACCGCCTCTGAACCTAGTGACTACAGGCCAATAAGCATTTTGCCAGTATTCTCAAAAGTGTGTGAGTCTTTGATGGCAGAGCAAATTTTATCATTCGTTCAAGAAAATAATCTTTTATCTCCGTTGCAGTCAGGATTTAGACCAAAGCATAGCTGCTCTACAGCTATGTTAAAAATACTTGACGACATAAGAATACAGTTTGACAAAGGTGACTTAACTCTTCTCTGCCTTCTTGATTTTACTAAGGCGTTTGATTTAGTAAATCATGACCTGCTTTGTACAAAGCTTAAATATTACTTTGGATTCTCCGATAGCTCTGTTAAACTTATGACCAGCTACCTTGAGGGAAGAAGTCAAAAGGTGATGTGCAAATCTGCGTCATCAAAATCCTGTATTGTTGCCTCCGGTGTGCCGCAAGGCTCCGTGCTTGGTCCCCTTTTGTTTAGTCTTTTTGTCAATGATGTATTTTCTGTTTGTCAGTATGTTAATGTCCATGCCTATGCTGACGACATTCAATTGTATTTGTCTAGCCGTGTCGGTCTTGTTGAAGATTTGTGTTATAAAATAAATAGTGACTTGTCTGCAATATCGCAATGGTCCCGTGATAATTGTCTTTGCGTAAATGCTGCGAAGTCATATGTGTTACCCATTAGTAACAATGTTGTACATGTTGAGGATATTCCAAAAATGTTTGTTGGTAATAGTGTCCTTACGTTTACTGACAAAGTTAGAAACTTAGGCTTCGTTGTTAACTCTATGTTGAGCTGCTCTGACCATATTAATAAAGTTGTTAGTAATGTGTATTTTGTTCTACGTAGATTGAGAATGTCAGCTTCGTTCACGCCTTTAGAGACTAGGAGAAAACTAGCAATTCAACTCATTGTACCACACATTACGTACTCTGAGCTTGTGTATAGTAAACTTGATTCTACTTCATATCACAAAATTGATGTTGCGTTCAATAATGTTACGCGTTACGTTTATGGCCTCAAAAGATATGACCACATCTCTTTCTGGAAAAACAAAATTCTTGGATGCAGCATTTTTGAATATCTTTCGGCCAGAAACTGTATATATATTTACAAGCTCATACAATTCAAAGCACCGAAATATCTTCACGAGAAGTTAGAATTACCTAAGTCTTGTAGGCATCAAAATCTGATTATCCCTAAATTTTCCTATTTGCCCTCATCTCGGCTATTTTTTGTTAATGCTGTGAGGCTGTGGAATTCCATTCCTGATACTATCAAAGCTGCATTGAATAGGAGCAACTATAAGAAAGTAATACACAAGTATTTCACCTCTGTGTGATAAATGCGATTGCAATTTAACAGTTCTCTTTTCTCTATTTATTTCTCCATCTTTTTGTTTTTTTTTTTTTTTTGCTTTGTGTTTTTCTTTTTAGGTTTCCCAACTGCAATGAGTGACTATTAAATGACTACTATTTAATCTTACTTTTATTTAATTGTTATTTTTTATTTTATTTTTTAATTTAAGATAACTGTTTGTATTTAAATTTATTGCTATTATATTTTTACGTTCGTTTTAAGATAAGTCTGTATCAGACGATTTTGCGGTTTAATTTTGTAATTGAAAGCTGTTGATGTACTACAAAAGACTGAGTCTTACAGGTACAACCTCATTTCTTAAATAAATAAATAAATAAATGTGTATGTGCATACATAGAAGTGAAATATAAATAAATTTAAGTAACACATAAATTAAAAAACCTAATGCTTGAAACACAATACCCGGCGAACGGCAAATTTCGCTCAGCAGAGCGATGCCGACGACCAACTTTCGCCCAGCTAATTCGCTTACTGAAACACAAATAGAGCGGTATCGAGCGGTTCGAATGCTGTCAGCTGATAAGGTGACCATGTTTCAAGAAGGAAGCTTTTACAACGAAGAGGGAAAATACCAGCAAGAAGAAGTTTAAAATATAGAAATAGTCTTTAAATATAACTACTAGTAAACTTACGTTTTACTAGATTAATCTCTGATAGAAAAATATAAGGTATATTATTTTACTTTTAAACAAAAATTACGATAACTTTTAAGGTATGGTCATCATGGCCTTTTTTTGTCGTTGCCGTTGACCGCGGCGATAGAAATAAATCTATCGTCGTGAACAGTCGTCGAGCAAACTTCGTCGTTTGCTTTGATTGTGCGCGTTCTTATATAAATCAGTGTGTTTTAATTATTTCGGCGAACATTCGCGACGAAAAATTTGCCGTTCGCCGGTGTTGTGCTTCAGCTTTAAGTCATAAGCAATTGAATTTCATCATCCGCGTCTTTGCTATCCATCTTTACGCTCTCACGACAAAATCACATATGAGCCGCTCACCGTTTGTGGCAAACGACAGCGGGCATGTTAGCGCACATGTGCGTGCACATGTTCGTCGTGTGTAGCCAGTGTAAACATTCCGAAGTCAAAGCAAGGCAGTCTAGTACCGTTTTTGTCAATGCATTGTGTACTTGAGTGCCGTTTTTGTGTATGTGTTGTGTACATGTTTATTTATAAACGTATGTGTTCCTTTTCTTTCGTACGTGTTTATTGATATATCTGTACTGTAGTGTTTTCGGTCGGTACTAGCTCTTACTGCCAATATAGGAGTATTACATATATGCATTATACATATAACACCGCGCGATAGTATCAATATATTCGCGAAAGCCTGGGCCCAATATAGTAAAATTGCGTTTTTAGTTTTTCACTCTGACGTCAGTAATTCAAAAATGATTTAATAAAATCATAGAAATGTGCTTAGAGAAGAAATATGGGTATAAAATTAATGAGGAAATAATAATAATAATATAATAGATTGACGCTTACACATATGTTAGTGTTTGGCCGAGCTTCTCCTCCGATTTGTGGCGTGCGCCTTGATGTTGTCACACAAAGCGGAGGGACCTACAGTTTTACGCCGACTCCGAACGGCGATTGTATTTTTATGAGAAGCTGTTTTTCATGGCAGAAATATACTCGGAGGTTTGCCATTGCCTGCCGAGGGACGACCGCTGTTAAGAAAAAACCTTTTTTCTATATATATATATTTTTTTTTGCGATATTGCTTTGATCAGGGCTTGAACCCAGGTGCTGTGGAGTGGAAGCGCGCACTGCTTACCACTACACCGCAACGGCCGACAATGAGGAAATGCTGTAGAATTTAAACAGATTCAAGTTTCTGGTGGCAAATATTGAAAATGTTATTTTAAAGTTTTATCCTTGAAATTTCGCAATATTTGTTTTTGAAAAAATTATATAAACTCGATAACATCCTCGAATTTCGTTCTTCTAACTTTGTCAGAAAAGTTACCTATTCGTCCTTGTGAATCCAAAAAATTTAAATTTTTTAAATTCTAAAGAAATTTCCTATTGCATTTGTTACCCATATTTTTATTCTACATTGCATTGAATTTTTTTAACAATATTTAGAATTAATCATATCTCAGAAATTACAAAGTCCCTCAAAATAAATCGTGCGCTCAGAAAAAAAAATAAATAAAAACGCCACTTTATATAAAAAGGTAGGCTTCAAACCCATTTATTTATTATTTATTTCATTGTAGGAGAGCTTCTCAAACAACATACATAGAAGCAATTTTTTCGATTCAAGTTGCTGAAAAGCAATGAATATCTAAATCCCGAGATCCCGGAATTGTGACAACGCCATCCCGAAAATCCCGGGATCAGAAAAAGGCGAAAAATTAACATCCCTAATACATACCTACTGCTTACATATTTGTATGTATACCTATTAAATTAACTAAACTATTCTTTTAATTTCAGGATTCGGTATCATTTTCTATTACATGTTAACTAACCTCAAACCGTTTGAAGAATTGAACGCATTTCAAGATTTTCGCCTTTATCCTCTCTTCATTGGAGCCACTCTGTTTGCCTTTGAAGCACCAGGATTGGTTAGAACATAAAATAATAAGGGTGCCTATTTAATGAGACAAAATGTATTCAAACTATTCAATTTCGGACTCAGGAAAATATACTTTCAAAATCCTAGAAATAATAATTTTAACAAATGTGTAGATCAACTTGTCACTGCAGTCCGAAGCAACTGTTTTACTTGCTCGCAATTTCAATTCGATACCATCAGTATCTTGAAATAATTGCAGTAATTGTTTAGGTGTAGGACACTAGCCTAGCAAAACTTAACCAGAATTACATACAATAATAATTATTATAATTTATATGAAATAATGGTGCAAAATAAGTCAATTGCACTTATTAAAAAAACATTTTCGCGCTTAAATGAGCACCCTTAAATTAAAAAAAAAACGTGCATACATGTATGTATAAATATGTACATATGTATGTATAACACTATTGTCTTTATCCCAGGTGGTTTCCATTGAGGCGAATATGAAAAATCCGAAATCTTATGTTGGCTTAACCGGCATTTTGAGTCAGGGTATACTCATCGTCATCCTACTGCAGCTTTTCTTTGGTCTATTCGGTTATTGGCGTTATGGTGATGAAATCAAGTCGGCTATTCTACAGAGTCTGCCATACGATGAGATGTAAGATAAGAATTATATGTAAATATACCTCTGGAAATTACCCAAAACTAAATTTTACTATCTGCTCTTATTTCAGTCTTGGTAACACTGCCCGCGTTATTTTCGCATTTTCCATGTTCATTTCCCACCCCCTGCAAGGCTATGTAGCCATCGATGTCATGTGGAATAATTGGTTGAAGGAAAAGGTGGCAGAAAATATGGCATTCGCACTGGAATTGGCGTTTCGAATGTGTCTTGCAATTTGCTCAGGTGCTACATTAAGTTATTAAAACCTACGACTTTCACGAAGGCTACTAATTCTGTATTTGTTTTTCCTTATAGTGTTATTTGCCATAGCTCTCCCAAATTTAACTTTAATTCTTTCATTCGTCGGTGCCTTTTGCCTTTCATTTTTGGGTCTGATTTTTCCAGCCATCATTGATATTTCTGTTAGATACGAAACTGGCTATGGACCCGCTAAAATATATTTATTAGCCAGTATTCTGCTGATCATTTTCGCTGTTATTGGAGGTATAACTGGTTCATATGTTCCAATCGAACAAATGGTCAGGCTTTACATCAATGGGACAGATTTGACCGGATGAAGCCCGTGAAACAAAAATTAAGTTGATGAGAGATAGAAGTGTATTCACATAAATACATACATACGTGCATAAAGGATTTTTTAACAATATGTTTACGTGTGCATGTACGAAATAAATACTTCACAATTGATTTTGTTTCTTTCGCATATACCGATTTCATGATGGTACGTTTACTCTGTTTGGAAATACATATTAGCCGTGCACGCGTTTTGGGACTCATGTCACTGATGGCAGTTATAACTTTGAAGCAGGAAAGGACTTGGTCTACCTAGGATCCAGCATAAATAACACCAACAACGTGTTACTTTGGGCTCGGATGGCAATTGAAAAATCTGGACGAACCAAAATCAAGCTCTCCTTGACTCTCATAATGCCCGTTCTTTAACATGGACGATGCCAAACAAAGATGAGATTTAGGTTTAGGGCTTTAGAGAAAACCACTCTACGCAACATCTACGGCCCTGTTTGCATGGGCGACGAGTATAAACGAACTTTTAACGACATGGGCATACTTAAGCGTACAAAAATACAAAGATGGGCTGGCTTGGCCATGTTGTACGCATGGATTAGGTGACAAGATCGTTCGGCTCAGCCCCCATGGGCGGAGAACAAACGCAAAAGCGCTCACGAACAAAATGGAAGAGGCAAGTGCAGAAAGACCTGTCTGCGAAGGTTTCTGCCCTTGGCCCATTAAGAAGAATATATCGAACAAAATTAATATTTATTAAACAGAATGAAAACTAGATTTATGCAGAATGATAGTCTTCCCTTTCTGAGGTATGGGCTATAGGTTTCGATTTCGGCGATATAAACATAGAAAGAGTTTCTGGCAAAAGGAGCTGAATGTTCTTCTATATATTGGCCTTAAACTGCTCAACAGAGCATCTGAGTTCAAAATAGCAGTGATTTTCTCTAGAAAATGTTCTTGGAAAATATTCGCGGACTGCTGGTAATGCTTATTGCGTTCTACTGCTGCCTCCTTAGAAACCAGTGTAATGGGTAGGTAACAATGCTTTTTTTATTGCACTGTTACCAAGCATTATTATATTTTATGTATTGTAGGAGTCGCAAAATGCCAGGGGTGCATACATAACTATAAGGATATTGATATTGAGGCTGTAGGTTACAGTGACCCGATTTTCGCCATTTTAACTTAAATGCCTTGTATGCAGCTCCCAAGAAAACGGTCAAGGACAAATTTGCTAATTTCGCGTGAGTGTCCAAGGATTTTTGAAATTTTTGATACTTCACAGCCTGTTGCCTCACTCTTTCCTCAAGAAATAATGGAACGGGCATATATTTCTCTTGCAAAAATTGGTGCCTTGTGCTCTTTCTTCATAAATAACTTTAGAAAACCGTAGTAGAAAGCGTAGTAGGAACTGCGTACTACCTTAAGGAAATTTAACCCAAGAAAATTTCTTAGCCATTTCTTGCATGCCATTTTATATGGATTTTTTGCTTTTCTTGAGAGCTGCATACAGGCCTTAAGTATTATTTTGATAATGGGTGACGGCAGTGCCAAATTTCATGTTCCTAGCTTCATAAATGGAGAAGTTATAACGAAAAATCTCATATATGAACAATCAGTTGTATGGGAGCTGTATGTTATAGTGGTCCGATTCTTCCGGTTTCGACAATACCTAATAAAAATACACCTACTTACAATCCTAGACGCTGAGAGAATTACAATTTGGACTTAAATTTTTCACATGCTTTTTTGAACCGCCCAAATGTACATACTTGTGTTTTTTCATCCGGAAGGATTTTATGTATAGTAGAAATATACAGCGCGGGATGTATGATATAACTTTAGTATAAAACGGGATTTAGGGTACATTTGGATGCGATTTTATTAACCCAGTTAGTGGCAACACTGGTCTGAATAAACGCATATACCAAATATTTCTGTTAAATACCAGTATATCAGTGTTATATTTCATTTAGCTGAAACATATGTTTACTATAGTAAATTGATTGAAGTTTGGGAAGGGTGTACAATTCGATTTGATTTTTAAACAGGTTGCACACTCTTCAAATTTCTTTCTAATGCATCTTTCGTTTGATATCAATATTATAATTTTACATTAAAATGTGAAACAAACGAATAAAGAAAATTAAGGCTAAATTTTCGATAAACTTCGTTTGCATTTGTTCGAGCCGAGTGAAAATTTATGAATTTTTTTTTTGTGATCTAATTTTATTCCCCACAAAAGCATAAAATGCAAAATATGTACGCAAAAGGGCCATAAAAGTAATATCGGCTTAAACAAGTTAAACTAGAGCCCAGAAAAATGCCAGACGCTCACGGAAAACGCTGCAAATACTGTACCGAGAATCACAAAGAAATACAGAAAAAGTCATAAAGGGTCTTAATAATCCCTTAAAATACCGAAAAATTTCGAGCGGCTCTAATGAAGTACCGGAAAACTCTAAAAGTATCTGAAAAACACCAAATTAAATTAAAATTCACAGTTCTCAGTATCATTTAATTTAATTCGTGCTGAATATTTAATTTATTTAAGTTAGGAGTGAAACAAATAGAATAAGCAAATGCTATAAAATTCAGCCCCTGTTCATATCCATAAGGCCTTTTAAATTTTAAATAAATATTTCATGCCGAGCCTTTTGCGCTCATAACGAAGTAAATTGAATTTTTTTTTCGTTGTGAGCTTATGTTATACTAGCTTATACCCGCGGGTTTCACCCCGCGCTTTTATATAAATATGAAAAATAATTTAATGATGTTAGATTTTATTTCTGTGCCCATTTCGTTATAGCTCGTTATTTTTTAAGCGAGTTAAGGTATTTAGGCCGTTTAAAACTATGAAATTATAAAATCTCGTCTGCGCACTAGGCATACGAAAGATATCAATCCCTCTAAGTTTACCTTAAAATGGTTCCAGGTATACGACGCGTAAACATGTAAACTTCTTGGAGGTGCCACGGCGGGTTCTAATATTTCCAAATCAAATTTAGTAACCTGGCCTTGATAAAATACCACTTCTCATTACTGTAGCAAATGCCTCAAGAGAGCTTTAGATTATAAGGCCGAACCCGGCTCTCCCTTTTCCATTAAATGAAATTTTTTCTATCAGTACGGCACTTATAAAATAAATCTCCATAACAAATTTAAAATACTTCCAAAGATTTTCTATCTTTTCAGAGATATGTATTTAGAAATTTTTATAACTTACATTTTTTCCATGAGCAATTGAAACATTTTGTATACACAACTCCATACCAAGTTCCAGTATTCTTCCACAAATACTTCCAAGGATATGTGGCAAGAAAAAGTCAATTTGCACAGAAAGTGCCACGCCCCTTTTTCTTATAACCCTAATCTTCTTTCATGAATTTAGAATTGATTTTACATTACCCAGCACCAAGTCCAGTACTCTACCATGAACACCTCTAGAGATATGCAGTATAAAAGTAAATTTGCACGGGAGGTACCATGCCCCATTTTCGAATAACGCAAATTTTTCTCCATGAGTATGGAATTAATTTTGTATACACATCTCGGTGCCAAGTTCCAGTCCTCTGCAATAAACACCTCCAGAGATATGCAGCATTGAAAAATCAATTTGCATGGGAGTTGCCACACCACCTTTTCCAATAATTCTCATTTTTCTCCATGAGTATGGTATTAGTTTCACATACATACATATATATGTATTTCCATACCAAGCTTGAGTGCTTTACCCCAAACATTTGAAGAGATATGCAATATGTAACTTTCAGTCAGTATGGGAGGTGATACACCTCTTTTCCAAAAAGGTCCATTTTTCAATATGAACATGATTTCATACAGTGTTGGCAAACTGTTAATCTGACTAACGATTAAAAATTAACGATTAAAATGTTAATCGCGTTTGACGATTAAAATCAATTAGTCGTAATCAACTGTACGATTAATGATAACATTTTTTAATCGTTAATCGCTGGCTGCGATTACGTTTAATTAATTTAAAACATTAATCGTTAATCCAATTAAAAATAAAATCTGATTAACTTGTCTAGTTTGTCCGAGTTTGAAACCAAACACCAATTATAAATAGTAATTATTTTGTGTTTTACGCTTATAAAAAGCACATAATATAAAAAAATTATAATTATTGTTATTAGTAATACATAAACTGGGAACTTTTACAAACCTAGTTTGTAAAACGTTTGTTGGTATATATCTTAATGAAAATGCACACCAAATTGCTTAGATGGATGAGGAAACCCTGCTTAGCCATACCGGATTAACTTGCTTTGTGAGCACAGGGAAATTTCAGCATAACTTAATTAACCACCAAACCTACTTTATCAAATTAAGAGTTAATGATTAAAAATTTATTTTTTAATCGCGTTCACGATTAACTGTTTAGTCAGATTAAAATTAATCATGATTAACTGTTATTAGATTGAATTTAATCGAATTAACTAACTAATTAAAACATCAATCGATTAATGCCAACATTGATTTCACATACATATCACTATACCAAGTTTCAGTTCTCTCCCACAAATACTTCCAGAGATATGTATGTAATATGAAAATTCCAGTTTGTATGGGAGGGGCTTGAGTTATCGGACTTACTATCAGTCCAAGACCATCTTTCCGAAATCCGTAGTAAGTGTACTAAATTTCGTTCTGATCGGAAACCCGGTTAAGGAAGTCGCCTATTTTTCAGTCCAGGTCATAAACCATCTTTGAGTAAAATTTCATTTTCAAACAGGTGGCAATTCTTTAAAAAGTAGCCTATTTTTCAGTCTATTTCATAAGCTATCTGTGTGCAAACTTTCATGCAAATCAGTTCAGTCATTTACGCGTATTAATTTAATTAAACTTTCCTAATACGTGATAACTCTTAAAATAGTAGCCTATTTTCCAATATAGGTCATAAGCTATCTCTGTGCGAAATGCCATGCAAATCTGTTCAGTCGTTTCCGCGTATTAATTTAATTAAAACTTTTTTAACCAATTTGTGAATTAGATTCCATGTGCTTTCATACATAGTATGTTTTAAAAACAAATTGAATAAATATGAATTATTAAACATAAATATTTATGTATATACACTTTTAT